TTCGAAGGTCTTCTTGAATTTTGACTTTCCAACTACCGAACGTCGCTTTTTCTTATTCTTACCGGATTTGAAGGGACCGTCATCCTATAGGTGGGAGGATTAATAGGCAGTCGCAATCTTTACCTCGCCAAACTTTGGCTTTTTGGTAGAACGCGATTCCGACACGGGCTCCTCGACATGATTGTCTTGCTCCAAAATCTCTAGTGCCTTACGTAAGCGGCGTTGTCTAGCGTCAGCATCCAATACGCGGCGCTGAGCTTCCCTCAAAACTTCGTGCTTGTCCATTCTCCCTAAAGAACGAGTCAAAAGTTACCTTGTTTGAAATTGCTATTTTTTAAACACGCAAATAGGCCATGCATGCCACTTTTAAAAATCAAAATCAATCTTAAGGGAGACAATGCCGATATATGCAACTGCAATCCGAATCTTCAGTAAAAAAGCATGCTCGAGACATTCTACTTTATCAGTCTTAAAACACGGCGACAAGTAAAAAAAAACAGTGGCGTACAAAAAGCCGTCATAGGTAACAGCGGCTGAGCCCGTAGCGAGGGTTGCTTCGTGGCTTTGCCTCTACTGTCTCTACTGAGGAATGCTCGCAGTCCACTACCCTTGGTTTCAAGGACTCTTTCCGTTAGTCACAGCTGTTAATGGATGTTTTTAAAATTCAGACGGATGCAAAGATCCATTGTAATACAAAGCAGGCTAAGCAGTTGGAACTAAGTTACTACTCGGAGCTGTTTGCTAGGCACTAAAAGAATAAAGTAACTGTAACTGAATAAATGTTGTCTTCGATTCTGTGCACTTGCTCGATATCCTTACCCATTCCCTGGCTCGTAACAGACAATAAGCGAATGCTTGTCAAAAGTTAGGTTCATTTGCAGTAAAAAAGTATGTACTCGAAATCTGCAGTGTGAAGGAGGCACGAATATGGAAATATTTCCACAGGCAATAAGAGAATAAAATTTAAGTGGTAAAAACACCAATCCGAAATCGAGAAAATGTGAAAGCTGCGAATGAGCTTTTGGCGGCTTAAACATTTGAATAAATACCGTTAAAATATAAATATGCAGGTCTGGTGATAATTTATCCAAAGCAAACATCTGCATTTTTCACAAATCGGAAGTCAACAAACATGAAAGGCACGCGAATTCGCTAGAGCGATAAGGAACACCAAGTGTGTTATTGTTGATGATACGTAGGAAGGTTAAAACCTAGTTTGTAATCACACGTTTACCGCAAAGACGGAGGAGTCAACATAGTCCCTCAAGACATAAGTTGTCAGACCACTAACACAGCCAAAAGATATACTTCCACAGTCTCATGTTCTACGAAGGCAACAGGCCATCCGTACGTGGGCCCGAAAAACTAATCACAGGCAGAGCCCACAAAGAATTCACAATTCATGCTAAACTTGATGTGTGGTAGTGGAGTTTTGCCTGAAAATAAGAACGAAGAGGGACATGTAGAATCTCACAGAGCGCTGCGAAAAGAATGGATTTTTCGACGAGTTCCAAATGAGAAAAGGGTATGTAATGAAGTACGATGGCAAAGTTTTGTTTGAAGCTTGACAATGGGATAAAGGTGCTATTTGCGAACTCTTAACGCGATAGCAATTATAATTTATCCAAAAGTGCCGAAAAGAGAAGATTTTACTAATAATAGCGCGTGTGAAGCCTGCCATCAGATCTAACCTAGGTTATTGAAGCGCCTCCCGTTATCAAAAAAGCACACTTGAAGCACTGAAAAAGGATGCTCATTATCGACTCCAAAAATTCCAATTTGATGAGAAACAACATATACAATTTTGCCGTAATAATCTTGCCCTACAATAAGTTAAATCTTTAAGCGAAACAATTGTTCATTTATTAGAACTGGAACGACAAAAGAAGGGGTTATTATTAGAAAAAAATGGATGCCTATTTATTGGCCATCTAGTACAAACCAAAAGTTTTCAGCAAGAGTTATAAATCTGGCTTGTAAAGTCTTTACAGCAGCGAAGGAGAATGGCATGAAAAGCAATTATTCTGATTCAAATTATTTAGAGTTCCTTGGCGGCTTGAAAATTATTCTATTAACAGGAGACCTCACAGAAGA